GGGTCCCTTCGGGCTGGGGGAGGTGGCCCCGGGGCTGAGCCCACCCGAGCTGCGGCGCCCGCGGGGCGCGCAGCTAAGCAGGCGCATCGGGGCTGAGGAGATACAGGGCCATTTATCCGCCCGTCTAGTTAAAGCGGGTTATTTGTTTGCTTCTCTGGCCTCCCCTCCCCTCCCCTCCCCCTACCCGCTTCCCCCTCCCTTCCCCTTCTGCCTTTTATTCTTTTGTCTCTAAATGGATTTAATGAGCCTGAAAAACATGACAATTGAATATAACCAAGAAATAAAAAATAACGAGGGAGGAAGGAAGGAGGAAAAGAAGGAAGGAAAGAAGGAAGGGGAAGGATTAATAAAATAAAGGGAAAAATAAATTCAATTCAGCAAATGTTTATTGTGCGTCTTTTCTGCGCCAGGCCGCACAGGGGGCGGTTGGGGAAATTGAAACGAATCAGATCCGGTTCCTGCCCTCAAGGCGCTCCCAGTCTGGTGGGCAAGACTCGCAGCACCCCCCATCCCGGGGCGCTAATAGGAGACCCCGACCGAGCAGCAGGAAAGTGCAACTTTGCAAAATGCGGAGAGATGGTTTTGGTCTCCAGACTGGTGAGGGCTTCACGGAGGCGGTGGCTTGGGACCCGGGCCTTGAAAGATCAGAAGTAATTCGTTGTTCTACAGGCCAGAAAGGAGGGCAGGAGGACGAAAGGACCGGACGGTCGACCGAGGGTAGGGGAACGAGGTGTACCAGGGAACCTTGGGCTGAACCCAAGCCGGGGAGGCCCGGGAAGAGCGCGCCGGGCTCTCAGCCCCACACAGTTTGGCTAGTGGAATCGAGCCATGCTCCTCGGCTCTGTTGGATTTGATGCCTCCTTCAGGCTCCCGGAGCCCCCACCGATCGCACGTGAGGCTGTTGAAGCCCGACTCGGCCCAGCCGAGCACCGCGGCTTGGGGCTCATCCCCAGGCCCCATCGCGCAGAGAGGCGGCGGGGAAGTCAACAACTGTGGCAAGGGCCGAGAGGCTTGGCCATAGGTGAAGGCGAGGAGATGGGATCCAGAGAGGACTGGGCCACCCTCTCTTTAGCTGTCCCAGTTCTGATGAAGGCTGTTACGCGCGCGTGGGCCGGGGGTGCTCGGATGGCTTTGGCCATACCTCGGAGGCTGCCTCGCAAACCTGTGATGTGACAGGTCTTCGAACCCCAAGGCCCCTTAGCGGGCGCCTGTCGGGCCTGCCTCGGGGTGCGGCTGTGTGTGGTGTGCGCGCCCATGTGTGCGTTCCGTGGGAGCAAGGCGTGTGCATTGAGTATCTGTTTCTTCTCCGCGTCGCAGGGTACGCGTGAGTATGGCATGGATCGTGTGAGGGGCTGTGCGCCCTACACCCGTTCTCCGGGCGAAATTCGTTAAGGCTTGGGACCCCCCAGACCCCCGCCGCCTTCGGCCGGAGTGCCATCCCTGCCTGGGGCCTTTGCCGACCTGTTCCCTCTGCACTCTGGCCTCTCTGCAGACCCACTTTCGGTTCCCGGCTGCCCAGGAGAGGCGACTCGGCTTTGTTTCTCCCTTCCCGGTTGGGTCCCGGGCCTCGGCGCGGTTTGCCACGTCCCGGGACGCCGGCGGTTTCTGTCCTTCCGGCTGGGGACCCCTCGGCGCTTGGAAAGGCCGGGCCGCGCTGCGCGCTGCGGCTGGCTCGGCTTCCTCCGCTCCGACTTCCGCTGCCTGGCGGCCTGGCGGCCTGGCGGGCGGCGCCGGGCGAGGCCGGGAGGCGCAGTTCCTTATTTTACGAGGTGTCGGGCCGGTGTCAGACGCAGCTCCGATAAGTAATACTCCAGTCTGAGGGACCAGAACGTGGTAATTAATCCCAAAGACTTAAGTGTATTTTAGTTCGGGAGGAAAAAAATCACTAATTCAATCGTCCGGAAAATTGAAGTTTGATGCATGAGTCCCCCCTGAAAGGGACGGGCTGGGGCCGCGCGCCTCCCCTCCTCCCCTGCCCGTCGCCGCGGGGACCCCCTCCTCCCTACCCCTCTGAGACGCCAGGTCCAGAGAAGTCCACTCTCCCCTCCCTGCGCTTTCCCAGCCACCTGAACCCAGGGGCACCTGGGCTTTGTTCCGCACCCCTAACAACCAGTCCGTCTTTCTTGGCCCCCCCAAAATGGTTTGTGCCAATAACACATGCTCCCCGAACACACACACCTGGGAGGGGATATAAGGGAGCCTCGGAGATGTAGGGGGAGCAGCCAGATCAGGAGCCAGTGTGGGTAAGGTCAGGTGCTGCAAGGCATGTGGGAGAAGGGCCAGGGAACCTGCGTGGACTGGGATCATGAGGGTCAGTGGGTAGGAAGCTGCTGTGTAAAGAGAAGTACATGTGGCTTCGAGGGGGGTGTGAGTGGAGGATAGGACTGGGTGTGCTGGGTGGGTGGTGGTGGTTAGGCTGCAGGTGTGAAAGGTTGTGTGGGAAATGGGTGAATCCCTAAACTGTGCATGTGCAGGAATGGAGGCCTTTGGGCAGAGATTGGCGGGCCTTGGGGAACGTGGAGCCTGACCCCTGAGGTCTCCACAGGCTGTGTCTCCCAAAGAAGAGGTTCCTGGAGCTGGAGTGAAGGAAGGTGGGGCATTCCTGGGTTTGGTGCATGTATGTGGAAGGCCAATACCCTGGAGAGAGGAGAATTTCCACCTCGAGTTTCCCTGGAGCCCCACTTCTGCACTCCCAGGTCCAGGGCTGCCATCAGCAAGTTACCCTGTCTCTTCACAACAGCTGCCAGTCCTGGGAAAGACTTGGGGCTGAAGGGTGTGGTGAGCTGCATGGGGACAAACAAGGGTGCATTCCTGACTGCGTGCAACTCAGAGACTGAGCATGTGCAGCTGATTGATGAAAACAAAGTGTGTGCAACTGGGGGTGACTGGGTGTGTGCTGCAGCATTCATGTAACCGATTGTTGCAACTAGTGTGTGCAACTAGGTGTGACTAAGTTTGTGCAATGG